CGCACTGAGCAGGTAGCTAGTGGCGCCTAAAGATAATGAATTTGGGATTTGATAATGTATTATGATTATGATTTTAAAAGGAATTTTCATCTTAGAGATATTTAGTGTATGTTTCTAGATGAAATAAACTGATAAATGGTATTTCATTACATGTAATCAGAGTAGAGAATACAGCGGTAGATGAGAACATGGATAACACAAGCCTGGCCACAAGCTGACAACTGCGAAGGGAGTAAGAGGTATGTGGGATGATTATACTCTATTTTTGTATGTTGACAATTTCTACGAATAGATGTCCATCACAGAGTTCAAACAACAACCCAAAACAGATCCCAATCTTTGATCATTTTCATACTACTGAGTGGCCACGGATTTGGTGCAGGCAACAGTAGGTCTGTCTTCCCATATCTTTTTTTCAGATGGAATGATTGAACCACATAGCAATTTTCCATAGAGATTTTAACTGCAGGAAAAGATCATCGTGATAAACAGGTGATCACAAAATTAGGCTGCACCTCAGTGCCTGGTAAAAATATCAACTGATGCTCTTAAGATCTTAAAACTGTTTTATGCAAGCTTTGTGCTCCCTCTGGCCTGCTTTCACATACACACACAGCCCTTTCCTATCCCTTCTACCACTTTTGCAACCCCTTCTGAAGAATCATTAATACACACAGATAGGAGACAGTCTCCATCACCCAAGGAGATGCTCAGCCAGTTTCTGAGGTCAGTACAGGGAGAGTGTAGTGTTATTACATGAAAACATTCAAATTGCTTTGAAAATAGCACACACGCCCCTAGAATAGTGGTCTCACATTTCAGTGTGTATCAGTGACAGCCCAGAACCGCTGAAGCCCCAGAGTCCTTCTCTGACTCAGGAGGCCAGGGGTGGAGCCTGGAAGTGTGCATTTTTCATGAGTTCCCATATAACGGTGACCGTACGGCTAATGGGATCACACTCTGAGGGTTAACATCCATCTGGACCTATGTATCCCTGCTCTCCTCCTTCTCCCATCCTAAGTACAACGTTTCCTGACAGGCCCCACAGAAAAGCTCATGATCTATACTTCTTTTTGCTTATATTTATCCCTTTGAGGTTCAGACCTTCCATCGAGCTTCAGCCTTCCATTGAATATCATACGATCTTTTTGAAATTACTTATATTTACTTAAATTTGGAGGTGACATTTTCACTTCCATCTTTCCTAAAAATGATCTGAGTAATTTTGTGTCTCTTTCCTGTTCTCTTCTCCTTTCTTCTAATCAAACTGAAGAAAGGGCGAGTGATACTCATACAAAGATGTTTCTAAGTGCTTTTTTAAAGAGACTGAATTTCTTAGCGGACAGTAATCTTTTCACATTATTATAGTTTTCCACTGTGTTCTGGGCATACTGTTTGTTATTATTTGAAAATAACAAGGCCTGACTCCTATTACTATTTATGACATTAAAAGTTCTGCCACGGGGTAGGTAGGCGCTTGGTCCATTTTTGTGAAATGAAATATTTCACTCACTGAATCTTAGAGCTAGAAGGTTCCTTAATGACCACTATTTACTATCATTTTACATGCAAGACATCCAAGGTTTGGGGAACCTAATGCCATACACAAAGCCAGCAAATTTGTCACTGAAAAACTGGAATTCTGTAATCTGGCTCTCCTGTCCCCTGGCTTGGACTTCCTCCCTTGGCTGCTGTAGCCCCGCCAGCGTTACTGAAAGGAGTCAGAAGGGCCTCCAGTGAGACAGAGAAGTCCAAAGCACAGGGCCAACAGCTCGAAGGATGACCCTACAGTTCTCAGGAAATGCACTAATTATAGGAAAAAACTTTCACACAGTGTTTCGTTTTAGATACTTGGGCTTTCTAGATTTCTCTGTAAAGTACGTAGGGAGGAGCTGACATTCTAGAAAAACTCAGGAAATGCCTAGAAAACTCAGAAATTCTGATCAACGAATGTAAATATGTCAGAGACATGAGCTGAGATGAACAATAGCAGTAGGAAAGACAGTGGGGAAAGGGGAGTTGGAGGAGGGAGGGACGCGGGAGGGAAGGGATACAAAAACCCACCAAGCTCCATGATGTACACGTACTCGTTCCACAGTGACGGTAAGCCGAATGTACTGCGCACATGCGTTTACTTACAAAGAAATACATAAATAAATAAATCTGGATGAGATTGGGTCTCTGGCACTGAAATGACCATCCTAATAGAGAAACACTTTTACGCCGGCCAAATGCAACATATCGGGGTCAAATCATTAACGAAAAAAATAACATGTCAGTATGAGACACTGTCTTGGAATAGGTTCTTTTTCGATGCAATGAAATGGGGAGGGACCACTAAGGACTTTGCTCCAGGAGTGGTTCGAGGTGGTTTACTCACACCAGGGAAGGTATTCCTGTTGTCAGCGCTGTGAGATACTCATGATCACCCCCAGTTCACAGACACAACTAAAGCCCTGAGGACTTTTGTGTTTGGGGAGCACCCACGATCCAGATGAACACCCAGGTCTACCCGACCCCCAGGCCACGCTGCCGCAACCCTATGGAGTTAAGCTGATTTCTCCATTTGGAAGTTCCAGCACCTACGTCCACTGTCAGAGAGCTCAAAGCCTCTTGATAGCCACCTCTATCATCTGCTTTAAAATCCTATAAAACAAAGCTTTTCTCTTTCTGCTCAATTCATTTTGGTTCTGTTGTCAGCAAAACTATACGTAATATTAGGACAAATTCACTAATGAGGCCTTTTGGTCCCACTAAGTGTGGCCTATCTTTAAAAGCTGAAAAATAGCACTGAAGGGTAGAAGCCATGTTCTTCCGTTTACAGGAAGTCACAATTGGTGGTAAACAGCTTGCCTGATTGTTCCCTGAATGCACATACCCAAATCCGTGTTTCTAACCCTTTAGCGTTGTGCATACTGTAAGTCTGTTTGCAGCAGCCACGCATGGTGGTATGTGCCTATAATCTCACCTAGTTGAGAGGCTACAGCAGGTGGTTCACAAATTCATAGGTCAGCCTGGACAGTTTAGTGAGATCTTGTCTGAAAATAAAAATTTAGAAAGGTTGGGGATGCAGCTCAGTGTGGAGCACTTGCCTAGCAAGCATGAAGCCCTGGACTTAGTCCCTCTCATTTAAAAAAACAGAACAAGCAAGCAAGAGCTAGCTTCTATTTCTAGAAGCCCAGGTGGGCCCAGCAGTCACTTGACCTCTTCTTCATCTTACCTAGGACCCCTGGGCCATCCCACACATTGTAAGGCAGGTGGTAGAACTGATGGTCCTATTTTCTAGGTTGCAATGAGGGAAGGGAGGGCAGAAACATGCCTAACAGAATGAAGTGAGGCTGACTTTCTAGAAAGGAAGTCTATAGTTAGGGAAGTACTAGGAAGATGCTCCTGTCTTTATGCCTTATTAATGGCGATGTTTCAGGACACTATTCTCTTCAATAGGTGTGTACAAAGGCAGGAACTCTGAAATAACAATTTGCCATTTGATGTGAAATCCTTTTCCCTTTGACAATTTAAAACCTTTCTTGAAAAATTTCAAAAATATTACCTAACATATCAAAAACCAAATCTCTAGTAATACAACTTAAGTGTTAGATTACTGTTCCCTCCAGGCCACCCATCCCAACTTCCAGATAAGATTTTCTTTTAAAGAAGAACAAACACGAATGGGTATGTTTGTTTGTTTGTTTGTTTGTTTCTTTGTTTCTTTCTTTCTTTCCTTCCTTCCTTTCTTTTCCTTTCCTTCCTTCCTTCTTCTTTCCTTCTTTCCTTCCTTCCTTCCTTCCTTCCTTCCTTCCTTCCTTCCTTCCTTTCCTACTTTCTCTCTTTCTTGGTCTTTTTTTGAGACAGGGTCTCGCTATGCAGTTCAGGCTGGCCTTCAGCCCACTCTGTAGCCCAGGCTGGCCTCGAACTCACAACGATCCTCTCACCTCAGCCTCCCGAGTGCTGGGATTACAGGCGTGTACCACCACATCCGGGGACTAGGGTAAGCTTTTTGAATTTTAGCAGAATGACACACTCAAGGATTTGACAAAAGCTAGTCCCATCCTTTGCATACACTCGTCACACTCAGGAGAGGTGCCGCTCCTCCTGGACAGAGTTGAGCACCACCATCAGCAGGAACAAGGATAAAAAAGTACCCTCTTTGTTATTATTCCCAAAGAAAAGCCAGAGTTCCTTTATTTTAATTAACATGCCCTGTAATTCATCTGAGGAAAAAGCTATACACAGATGAAAACAATTTTGGAATTGCATGGCCAGATGAATATCAGTTATCTCTTTTTCTGTATGTTAAGTCATTGCTATATACTTTTTTTGGAGCGCTTAACAATTGTGTTGGAGAAAGGACATCAAATGATGCTTAGAAATGTGATACACATTTTCATTTCACACTCCATCAGCTTTTACAACTGTAGCTCAATGAAATGTAAGAGAGAGCTTGGCAAACAGCCATATTTACCAAGGTATAAAATAGGGGTCAGGTTACTTTTTTATAGAAAGAGAAAATGTTTAATTTTCACTCTATACAACTGAAGTAGATATCCAGCTAACACCCTAGTGAAAGGCATCATAACCGTATATGTGGCATGGTTTAGTGCCTGTTCAGCTATAAGGTTTTACTACGTTATAAACAGCTTTGCAGGCAGGAAAACATTCCTCTCCTTCTCCTCTTACACTGGGCATCTATGCATACAGAAACATACTGGATCAGATCATCTTCAGTTAAATATTTTACCTGCATAGAATGGCTTTTATCCTCTGCATCTAGCTTGGAGGCAGAAGCAGCTTATTTCCTTTACAGGCAGAGGAGCAAAGTTACAGACATCAGCAAAAATGCATCTTTCTAATTCAGATTTCAATCTGTCAGAAAGGATTAAAGCCTCATGCATACATAAAAAGGGAACTATAAATGATAACAGAAATATGGTCTGGAATCCTTGTGCCTCCACAGCTGCTGTTTTACTGCCAGGGCGGAGAGGAAAGCATCATTTACTTACCTTTGTTAAACCTGAGACTTGTCCCTTTGCTAATGGTTTGCTGATGGACGGTGTGTATACTTTGGCGTCTGATACTGGTTGCCCTTTCATAAAATGTTTTCCTGACTCATAAATGTCCACTTCGACCATTTTCCCCATGAACGAAGGGTTCTTTGGCACTAAAACCTTAAGGAGAAAAATCAGAAATCTTAATTTCTTAAAGCAAACTTTAAAAATAATTTGAGATTTATAGAATTGTGGCAAGGGCAGTAGAGAAGAGTTCTTGCATGTCTTATACCCAGTTCCTCCTCATTATTAATATCCTACATTTCTATGGTATACTTATAATGTATAAACCAAAACTGATATATTACTATTAACTGAAGTCTATACTTGATTCAGATTTCTGTTTGCCCTTAACAGGTCTTTTCTCCCAGGCTCCTCCTAGAAATGCCTGCCCATGGCCAGATGCTGGGAAGTCCCCAGAAGTCAACCAGCCTCTTTTGAACTGGGCTTTTGATATTCTGCTCGTGGCCGTCCCCTGCGATGAAGAAAACTGAGACAAGAATGACGAAAGCCTTATACTTTTAATACCTTCCAACTTAGCTGTTGTAACGGTTTGAGAAGACACGTCAAATGAAGCTTGCATAGGAGTGTGCGTGTGTGCACTCGCGCATGTGTGAATACGATGCTTCAGGAGAAGCAGAAGAATATTTAAAAGCAACCTCTTCGATAACACAGTCCACTGGTGTTCAGCCCCACATGACTCCCCTGGCGGATGGCTGCCGCTCATTTCTTTGGCTCAGGTAGAAGCAGCTTGTGTGTGTCAGTAGTGAGAGCCTACCTCCATACTGACCTAGCTACACTGCAGGAACTTGGCTGGTTCACAGGAAACGATCAGCTGGTCTCTTTCCACTGGAGATTACTGATGGAAGTACTTGTTTACCTTGAGCAAATGTTTCCCCTCCTTTGGGACTAATAGGTAGTTTTTATGCATTAAGTCTCCCTCACACTTCTGGTTTAGCACTGCAGCTACGTGCCAATCTTTTCAAGTTAGGATCCAAAACCAATTCCACCCCTGCAGTACTTTGAAATTTAGATAATGATCTTCACCTCTGGAACTCATCTTTTTTTTTTTTTTTTTTTGGAACTCATCTTATTTAGAAAAAAATTCTAATGACATCTCAGATAGGCTTAGTTGTAGAGACAAAAAAGTCTGATGAGACCCAGAAGTTCCACAGTTAATTTCTCTAAAAAGCCAAACTGGATCTTGGTCTTTCTGAGTTTGATTTTTATGAACAGTGGGTTCACTTCATCAAAGTGCAGGAGAAAGGTCACCTGGGCAGCAAATTACTCACGGCAAGCAAACAAACAAAAAGAGCTTTGGTGTCAGGATATGAAAGCCCTTTTGAATCAGTTTTTCTAAAATAAAAAAATCTCTAGAGCAAACTATCCCTGGAGGATTCAGCACTATTCTGGGGGAAAATAGCCCTCCTGGATCTGCTGCCTTGATCTGAATGAAGGGCTCAGTTTTTTTTTCTCCTCCTCTTTTAATAATCGGAAAAGACCCAGCTGCTTTAAATGGGAGGAAACAGCTAACGAGGTTTGCACTTGCCTTTAAAATGAAGGGAAAAATGTTCCCTGCTGTGGCACAAACCCTGATGGCAAGAGAAAGACAGACGAGGGGCAATGAGGCAATCCAAGTACAATCCCACTCCTCCCTCTCTAGGCCGAGCTGAAGGCTGCTGGATGGGGACCCTAGTCTCCCGTAATGAGCCTGCAGTGGGGAAGAGACGCGGCTCCAAGAGGGAGCACGGGGAGCTCTTCCGCCACTGCAATCTCTACTGCTGCAGCACAGCGAGTTTAGTATGCCCCCCCATATTTTCTAAGGACCCGTTTGAGATTATTCCTTTTTTTTTTTTTTTTGGTTTTGGTTTTTCTCCGGTACCGGGAACCGAACTCACGACTTTGCGCTTGCCAGGCAGGCGCTTTGCCACTGAGCTAAATCCCCAGCCCCCGTTTGAGATTATTCCAAGTGGACACCAGAGCGGAGACCTTCTGAGCCACTGCCATCCTGCATTCTGACTCAGGCAGTCCCTTGCCCATCCCCCATCTGACAGAGCCGTGCTGTGACATGCCCATGCCGGCCTCCCGGGTCCCGCTCTCCACTGCTGGCCCTTAGCCAGAGAAAAAGATCTCTTCTTTTTTATGAGACAGGAATGGAAAGTGGGAAACCTTGTCTGATGTTACAACAGTTAATGTGATACAGAACGATCTGCAGAGCCCTACACCCTTGTGGGATCCCCCAGAACTGCGAAGGGAACCTGCTTCCAACCTCATGCTGGCCTCCAGAGCTGTTCAGTTTGAGCTGAGCCCAAGGAATACTCTTTTTCCTCCGTTCCCAGCATTTTTATCAAGGTAGAAGTTAAAAAAAATACTAAAACTACACTGAAAAACCAACTGATAGACCAACACAGAGAAAGCACAGAGCGACGGGACAGTGAGAGGAAATCCCTGCCCTTTGGTGCTGATGTCACGCAGGTGGACATCCTTCCTCCTGCTGTGGGGGAGTTTCTCCTGCTGTGGGAGCTTCAGCAGTGCTAACTGCCTGGTTCCAAACTCCAAAAAGCCTAGGGCTGGCCCTATCAAAGATTAGTGTCGACTAGAATACACTAAATACACTTATTCCTTTGTGGAGAATGTTCTATAGAATAAGCCACAGAGGTGAGCCCCAACGTAGCCTGGCAGCTTGATGCTACAAAATAGCCACCCTCTATCAGGATTCAACCCTTTCCCCTTTAAAATCCTCTTTGCTTAAACTTTTCTGAATTCTTTCTTATTTCGGAGAAAGCTCAAGAAGAGTGAAGTGCCTCTTACCTGCTCATAAAATCGATTGTGTGCAACATAAAACTTGGAATCGAAAGACTCTTCTGTTACTAACACTTGTTGTTTTTCACCAATCTGTGGAGAGAAGGGAGAAAAAAAAATGGAAAGATAAAGATAAGTACCTGAGAATCCCAAAATAAATGCCAGCCCAAATACTTCTGGGTCCCCTCGGGTCCTCTTGAGTTTAAAGAATAGGTGGCTAATTATTAAAGGTTAACGCTCTTCAAATGACCGATTCCCCTTTCTTCACTCACTATGCTGGAGATGCAAAAGTGCATAGTATGATCTCTTTTTCCTACACAGCTATGAAACAGAACTTGATTGTATTTCTTCCTTCAACATGAGTAAGATAATTAAAGCTTCTAAGACATATCAAAATCTTCTAAATATCACTTTGTTTCTTGAAACAAAGTTGCAAAACAAGCCAGAACAAGCTGCTTCCCATCCAAATTCATGAAAATATTTTGGCAATATGAAATAGTAATAAACATTAATTTGAGTTATGAGGGTTGTAACGCTAAAGAAAAATGCCTCCAAAAGCTACTCATGAGGCCCTTGCATCTCAACATTTTGCATATTGCATATGGTTCTGTGATTACTAATATCACAGCTATTTACTGATTATATATATTTTTCTCTGTCTTTGCTGGAGTACCGATGCTATGCTCACTTAATTATTTTCTTTTAAAGAGAAGGACAGCAAAAAGTATGGGATTGTTTGATTTACACTTACAATTTAAGCAAGTATTTTTAATAACCAAAAAGTTAAATCAGCCAATCATTAAAGAAATGTGACTCTCCAACAACCAACCAAAGCAAAAAAGCACACGGAAGAATCACCATCATCTCCAAGTTTACTCCACTGTGATGTGCAGCATTTAAAGTATCAATTACTTTTTTTAAAGGTTGTCAAAATGTCTCATCTAGCAAATCAGCTGTATTGAGTAATACTTCCTGGAAGTATTTTTGTCACTGCTGCTTCATAAATCCAACCCCCTGAATTGAAGTACACTGGCAAGATGATTTCTTAAGAAGAAATTCCTATTCTCATTTGTAGGGGCTTGCCACTACGATCAGGCAGTTATCATTTCAGAAACATAAACACAGCTGCACTAACTGGGCCACCTAACAATTAAAATAGAAATCAAACACCCCACTTCCTCATCCAGTGCCAATAACTAAAAATGCCATACTTTGCCATCTAGTTCCCCATCTCATTCAAAATGTAGCCCGCTTAGCCAAAGGTTGTAAAGTCTTGGAGATGGTACATACCAGGACTTAGTTAAGTCCCTGAAAAACCAGAGAAAGTTCCTCCAACAGGAGAAAATCAAGTAGCCCCATAGAAGTTCTTCAACTTCTATGCTGAGCTTGAATGGCTCTGTCTGTCAAAAACAGACTGGTGAATACTGGGTTTCACTGAAGTATATTCTCTTGGAAAAAACTTAGACTGTTTGCACACAGTTCACACTGTGAGTTGCTTATAACTTAGGATAAGTATCTGTCAATGGTTCTTCAGGAAATTTGCAATTACACTTCATCTAACATTAAGTTTTCAGGAAATTAATGACAGTATCAGAATGCAGAGCCACTGAAAGGGTGTTCTGCTTCTCTGCTCTTGTTAGAATTCATGTGGACAGGTGTAGAAATATTTTTGTGCTGTTTTATTTTCTCTGGTATCTCCAATGATATCTCCCATGAGAACAGTAAAATATACACACAGTTAGGAAGACTTGCTATGTTTATATAGTAGAGAGCTGGGCTTTCCACCAACCATCAGAGAACTATTTGTAGGTGAGTACTTAACTATTTGACAAAGGGGCTCACAGGAGAGCTGTTTTGTGCATTAAATAATAATGGCAAATGCTTTTCTAGTCACACTATTTGTTCCCTGGCCCATGGACTTTGCCTCTTTGATGAGACTCTTCGAATTCTCCAAAGGATACTGAGCAAACACAAGCATAGAAAGTGAGGGCTCAATCAAAAGCTGCTGTAATCCATGTACACTTCCAAAAATGTATTAAAAAACAATAATAAAAGTGCTCAATTTTTTTTTATGAATGAACTTATACTGAAGTGAATATCCAAATACAACCTTTTAAGAGAAGCAACTATTTCAAATAATCTTAAAATCAGTAAGAAGGTAAGGAAGGGAAGAGTTCAGAGAGAACTCTGGAAGAGCGACGTTGCCTTGGTCACAGTAAGAGATTGTAAGGGCTAAGCAAACGTATATAAGCCAAATTTCCTCCTAAAATCAGTTGCCTCCTACAAGTTCCAACCGTTGTCTCCCCACCTCCATGTTACAACTTAGTGTGGATAAAGACCTGCAGACAAAAAGATTTACAGTAATCAGTTGATTTGCCATTGCCCAAGATCATCTGTATCTGCAACAAAGAGGCAAGCAACAGAAGTCTTTAGGGCACTAAGATCACACCGCCAAGCAACCTGCTATACTAATGGCAGAGATGGTCAATCCAGCAGGAAGGGCCAGGGCTTGTGTCAAGGGAGGATGCAGGAAGCCTGTGTCTCACCCGCACTATGCTGAGAAGCAGACTCCTATGGCTATCTCTCCATCACTCGTAGAACCTTGCCCAAAGCCTGGAACCACCCATAGGAATGCAAGGTTACATCACTTTGAAAACCAAGCGAACAAAATCCCTAACATCGTGGTTTTCACACAATTTGTGACTGGCAGCACAAGACGACTGTTCAGCAGAGACGATTAAACTGAAACTGAAACTGCAGATCTGCAAAATCGTCCAGAAGGCGGCTTCAAGAGAACTGCTGCGGTGAAGGACAGGAAGAAACGAATGACAAGGAGCAAGGGGAGGCATCTTGAGGGTTTTCAGAAACATCAGGAGCCACATATTTGGGTAGGACAGTAGTGCAAGAGGACCTAAGATCTTGGTAGAATGTTTTAAGATGAAAAAGACCTGGCCATGTTTGGGACCTGCACTTTCCTCATCTATGAAATGGCCAGTTCATAAAAGGCAGGACGGAGGAGAGCTGAAGGGGTGGTGTATTATAACACTGAAGGGCTTATTTGTTCCAAAGCTTTGAGTCAGTCGCAGTGGATCTGTAGGTTAGGGACTGGTATGCTCACAAGGTACTGCGGGGATCAGATCAAGGTAGGCTCTCCCTTTCCTCAAAGTAAATGTGTGCTTAGAGCCCTCTGCAAATTACAGCCCTTCTGTTGCTGTGCTTCAACTAACAATGATCTTTAATATCTACTAAAAAACATTTGCAAAGTCTTTCAAAATGTATCAGGGGACTTGAACTTTTCTTTAAAAAGTCTGTTAGAATTTCAACAAAGCCCTTTCTATAATCCTAAGAAAGATGACTCTTTTTCTTATTTGCTGTATCAGTATGTGATATTTATAGTTAATTTAAAAATATTCAGTCTCTGTAACATGGTAGAGCTGAAGGCTTTCCTTGGTACTAGAACACCCTGGGAAACCCAGTTTCCCATCCCAACATTGAGGATTTTGTCAGGAAATTAAATTGATTCTACCTCTCTGAAGCAAGGGGCAGTTCTTACCTGTAGTTTGTCCCTAAATTCAGCTCTGTGGACTTCTCAAAGTGATTCTTCAGTCTCTACACCTGCTTTTGCAAACCAGGTATACTTGGTAACTTACAATGTCAGTGCAGAAAGGATGCACAGAACTTCATTTAGACTACCTTAATCTTACTTTAAAAGCCACTTTGTAAAGAATGAATTATAGGGGCTGGGGATTTAGCTCAGCGGCACAGCGCCCGCCTGGCAAGCGCAAGGTTGTGAGTTTGATTCCTGGTACTGGAAAACAACAACAACAACAACAAAAGAATGAATTATAAAAATGGTCTTGTAAAACTATCCCTCCATTCCACAGATTTGGTCATTGATGTGAGGGACAGTGCAGGAAAAAAAAAATTCCTCTAAGACCCTGTGTGATCTCCCTGGTGATCTCCCAGAGCTGCTGGGGACTGGGGCCCTCGGCTGTGAATGAGTGGGTTTTGTACAATGTTCAGACCTAGGTGAGAAGATATGGGAAACACTCTTAGTGGTTTTTTAACTAAGAAAGTAGAAAATAAAGGCATTATTCTGTTCACCAGACAAAGGCTGTAAGACTTCAGGAGGGGCTTAATCACTGATTTCAAAGAGGGAACTAAGGTCCAGCAAGATGGGTGATGTGCTAGTAGCAGAAAGGAGAAAAGGAGGTCTCCGCACTATCCCCACTTCTCAGCGCCCCCTATTTAATTGCTAGCTGTAGAACGCTTAAGCACTGTGGATCTAACTCTGCAGTGTATGCCTTCTCCGTAAGCAGAGGAACATCTGTGATAAACAAAAGGCAATGTTTTTAAGATTCAATTTCTGGATAGATTTTCCAGCATGTTACATAATCAACTAGCTGTGTCACTTCTGTCACATCTATGCTTAAAATTTCCCAAGTGCCTGAAGTTGTGAGAAACATCAGTTCTAACCATATGGCTGGAAAACACGCATAAAACACACACTTGCATTAAAAAGCAGTGGTTTCCAACATAATTTGGTTTTTGGATGAATGCTCATTCGAGTATACTCTTTCCCCATTTGTCCCAAACAGTACCCCACACAAGGCCATATAAGGACTCAAAGAGAAAAAATGAGAAGACTTGTTTGAAGAAAGGCAGATGATGCCCAAATGAAACAAAGGCATTAGGGTCTTTGGGTTAACACTTTTAATTCAGTAAAAACAATGGTACTTGTATGAGTACTCCGTGCACTAGAAAATGCAAAACTTTTCTCTTCAACTCACATGTGGCTGTAAATATAAACTTTACATACAGTTTACTTTTTTCTTTACTTCTTTTATTCTCTCATCTCTGCTTTGTACTTAGAAAACCTGAGATGTGGTTTGGAGACTAATGTCAATCTCAATTTTCCTCTGAAGTATTGGGTTAGAAAAATTTCAGTATTTCAATTTGATTTATAACAACTGTAACACCAATAAAAACCTTACAAAGGTCAGGCATGTGTATATATATATATATATATGTGTGAATTTTTTTTTTTTGAGGATCCACGTAGGATCCACATTTCTTTCTTAAAAACAGTGATA